TAGTGATTGTTCTGATTCCTCCCTGGGTCTACTCTCCAAGGGTGGGTAAAGGCCGCCATAGTAAGCTCACATGAAGTAAACAGGTGATTCTTTTTATATTTGCTCTATTACTACTTGAACGGAGTTTTCGATTATGTATCGGTTATGACTAGAATAATGATTTAACAAGGCTTCTCTTTCAATTTCTGAAGTTCATATTCTACCACATAATCAGCATAGATTTTATACCAAATTTTCTGCAAAACAGTAGGGTGCAACCATTATGTAAAGCATTTTTTTTAAAAAACTGTGCCAGTATTACTTTAAAAATCATATTTTATGGGTTGCAGTTGTGGCTCAGTGGCAGAGCACTCACCTAGCAAATGTAAGGTGCCAGGTTTGATCCTCAGCATCACATAAAAATAAATAAATAAAATAAAAGTATTGTGTCCAACTACAACTAAAAACAACAATAACAACAACAACAACAAAAACTGTGTATCACTAAACTCTGTTTGGTGCAAGATTAGGAAGCAAGGAATACCTGCAAATATACATCAATGCGGTGGCTCTGATTTTGTGGTAATGAAATGAGCAAATAGAGACTATTCTATAATGCTAAGCAGTAAAAAGATAGCCATTCCAAATACAATTCTTTAAATAGTTATATAAATAATGTTGAGGGGGGGCACATTAAATTTTATAAGCAGTATTTGCTGACATCTGACATAAGCAGCATCAATTTGTTCCTTTTGTAATCTCACCTATCAAATCCAGAAAGTAAAATGGGAAGAACAACAACAAAAAAAAAATCATATAAACAGTGCAGGATTAGTTTCATAGCAAAAGGTCTCTTTTACTTTCTAAATCCTGCAATAATTTCTACTCCAAGTTTTAAATGGGATACTTGACCTGCTGTGATTCATATGCTCATCACCTCCTTCCTTGGGATGGTTGAACCAGCAGCATGCAGGAGGAAGCCCTAGCCAGCAGCACCCATAGTCGGGGTGGCTCACTAATCATCAGGTCCTTCTTTCTGCACATCCTGCTCCAGTCAGTCACTACCAATTGGAGGGCATGGGCAAGCAAAATGGAACCTAATTACCCGCCTGGTTCCAGAAGCCTCCATCAACAATCTTCTAAGCCCTATGGCTTCACATTTACCAAAAACAAAACACCATCCTCAGACAGAAATGAGTGACACTATAAAAGAATCAGCAGGTAGAATAGGGAACTCTTTGGAATAAAGCCAGGGCTGGAGAGCCACAGTGAAACTGAAGCTAGAGGCTTAGCCCTGCCACTGAGCTATATGGCCCTGAGCTGGTGATGTGACCTCCCTCAGACCCAGCTTTCTCACCTATGAAACAGGAATGAGCCTCTACCTCACAGATGTTGAGAGTACGTGCTCAACATTAGATAGAAAGCAGCCACTGCTCCCATCCAGCTTGAAACCCCCGATTTCTACAAGTATTCTAAAAAGAAAACAATTTGTAAGTGCCTCTACCTGCAGGAAGCTTTCATGTATCAACTCCTCACAGCAACTTTATCAATCCCATTGGAGTCAGAAATGAAGTTCAGAGAAAAAAAAGAACTGTTCAGGGTCTCAAAGGAAGCAAAGAAAGACAACCATCCTAACATGAGTCTTTCTGCACCCAAAGTCATGTTGCTTTTATGTATCACATATCTAGGCTCAGGGGTCAATTCATGGTCTTCAAGGAGGAGTGTTCCAAGCTTGGTACCCTATGAAAATAGATCTCAGAAAGGCCAACACCAAGTATGATGCCAGGGCAAGCCTCTGAATAGCATGTAGCACCTGCAGACATCATCATGACCATGCAGAAACACCAAGAAGTCATTTTTAGGAAACTCCTCTGAAGATGTTCCCTACGTCCAGAATGCAGAAAGCTGAACAAAGAGGACCCATATAAAAGATTAGAAATCATGTTATGACAGGGTGAATCAAAATCACCTTAAAGACGACATACCTAACAAAGGGCAGGAATACAAGCTCACTTTCTTAAGACTCAGAAGCTTTCAAAAGCTCAGTTTAATAAACCCAAAGATAAATGGTTTGATTCTGAAAATTAGATAGGGAAATAAAAGAGAACTCTGTTTTGATTCACAATTGCCTCACAGGCATAAGGACTATGAGAAGCCTAATTAAGTTGTAAGATATTTCCAACTGAGCAATGTAGGAAGAATGGCAAAAAATTCTGCTTTCACAAACACACATGAGCAATCCCGTGATATACTCAGACTGTGGTCACCCACAGGGGACAAGCTCTGGATGGCATCAGTCACATAATCTCCTAACTGAGCTCAAGGAGGACTACGAGCAGGAGACTGATAACCAGGGAGAGACATTTTGTTAAATTCATTAGTGATAAAGGTTTAGGTCAGAAAAAGGTGAAGGAAACCCTTCAGGCTAGGGAAAAAGAGTAAATAAAACTGACTCTGGGGTACCTCTCTAGGAAACCTTATACACAAGATCCACAGCATAAGGAAAAGAAGTTAAGGGCTCATAACCAAACACGAGGGGTACACAATCAACAAGAAAAGCTGCCATTAGCTAGCAGGGCATACATAAGTCAAACCTGACAGCACTCATCTGTTTCCTTTTTTCACAGCCTGAAAAAACACACAATTAGCAACTAACCACAATTATGAATACGTTCTCTTAAGAATGGTTCCCACCAACTTCCAAAAGGAAAAAACCAACCTAATACCAGCATCACTAGGGAAATGCTATTCATCCTAGTTCAGAGAGATACAAGCAAGAGACACATCTGATCAGCCAAAAGTTGCCAACGTACTATACTGGAGGAGCTGTTGGAACTAATCCTGAGACTCGAACATGTCTGTGTTTAACTAGCCATTTACAAACTGGAGAGGCAAATGAACAGTTATTCCCAAGTACTGGTTTGGCAGATAGCTATTTTTGTGGAAAATTCTTTTGTTTTCTCCACTTACATAAAATTAAGTAGCATGGGGGCTGGGGTTGAGCATGCATGAGGCACTGAGTTTGATCCTCAGCATCACATAAAAATAAAATAAAGATATCATGTCCCCCTAAAACTAAAAAATAAGTATTAAAAAAATTAGGTAGCATGATTTTGGAAAAAGATCTGATATAAAAAAAATTTTAACACTGCAGAAAAAGCAAAAATTTCAGTAGATAAAATTTCGTGAAAGGTAGTATTTAAAAGCCTGTTTAAAAGCTGCTGAAGGTATAAAACTGACCCTCCTCCACTGCCATCCACTGAGACAGAGGGTGCATGCAGCCCTTTCCACCTGCTGCCGTGACAGGGCACTGGCCGGTGTGGGAAGGCCTGTTCCCAGCAGCAGCCATGCCTCCACTCAGGTCTGCAATCCAAGAATGACGAGACTCTGATCAACACAGCAGTCTCATAAACAAGGCTCACACGTGAAAGGCCACAGCCTCTGCGGAAACCAGCAGGCGTTTGGGTTCACATCTAGAGACAACTTCATATAGTAAAATAATATGATGTAACATCTTCTGATTATCAACATTTTGAATCCCGATGAATAGAGGTGAGAAAAAACAGACTCAAATAAAGCAAAATCTGGTTGCCTTATTGCATATTCTACATCCGAAACTTCTAACATATTAGTCTATAAAATTTTTCTTATAGCACATGGGTAAAAGCCGTATTTTTATTTGACAAACCTAGAAATAAAAGCACTGAAATTAATTAACTGGTCAACTAGTGAAGTGATGTGTTCCGGAGCCCAGGCCACTCCCAAGTGTAATGCCAAGCTGTGCGTTCCTTCACATTCCTAGGCAGCACCTTCTCCCCGTGCATCAGTTAGAGATGATTTTCCCTCCCAATGTGCATATTTTGCACTTTTAATACAGTGATTACCAGTGGGTTCACTCTAAAAGCTTGTTTACAGCCTTCCCATTTTTTCCTCAATGTGTATCAGCACTGTAGAGTACAACTTCTACATGGAATTTGCTTAATTCGCCGTAATTAAAGCCACAGGTGCAAGTTTCCTACTACATGAAGATCATGTGGCAGAATAAAAAAGCAGAAACTCTATTCATCACCTCTTTCCTGGGGAACCTTCTATAACGGGAATCTATCGTCAGTAGCTCATTACTTCAAAGAGCTGAAATTATCCAAACTGCAGTAAAACTGCAATTCCTGTGCCTTACTGAAAATGATTTGAAATGGACACTGTTCAAAAGTAAAAGAGCAGGGGATGTAGCTTGAGTGGTAGAGTGCTTGCCTAGCACCCACAAGGCACTGTTTGTGACCCCTAGTACTGCAAATAAATAAATAAATAAACAATTAAATAAAGCAAGGGCATGCTCTACTTTTGAAAGCACATGGTAAGAACATACATGATTAATTTAGAACTATAACTACTTTAAAAAAGAAGTATGGAGAAAGCCAGGCACAGTGGTACAAGCCTGTAATCCCAGAGCCTGGCGGTGCAGGAGGATCACAAATTTGAGGCCAGTCTCAGCAATTTGGCAAGACCCTGCCTAAAAAACAGGGATAGGGGAAAATGTGTCTTGAAATTAGAAAAACAGGTATGAATGTCTGTCCAATGCTGCTTAAAAGTGGACAAGTACACATGCTGGTTGCCCTCTCCACCCACAGCTGCTCACTGAAGCTCAAGCTACACACAGCCAAGCATTTGCTTTGTGTAAAGGAAATTTTATTTCACAATAAACTTGATGCATCAAGTTTGTTCAATTTGTTATCACAAATTTATAACAATTTGTTATCACAAATTATCTACAAAAAGAAGCTAAACCTAAGAAATGTGTAATTGTGGGATGCCACCCTGGTCTTCATTAAATTGACTCAAGAGATAATTTAAACAATTCAAATGGGTCCCAGATAAAAGCAGAATTTAAACAATTCTTAAGCCAACTTCCAGTGGTAAAGGCTGGTCTATATGATTCCAACAGTGGCAATTTTTATCTCTGAAAATAAGGACCTTATAGAAGAAACAGATTCAAAAGAACCTGTAAAACTCTGTCAACTTACCCCTCCTGACAACTTAATCACCCTGACCTTGGAGCTGACGTGTGGCCCATCTCCACCACCTCCACTGTTGGTCCGGTGCATGACAGTCCTCTTCACACCAGGCTTCATGTCCTGAGGCCGGCCCTGGAGGGACGCTGGGCGAGCTGCCTGTGGAGGGGGTGTGGGCTCCTCCACCTCCACAGGTTTGACCTGGACCACCTTGTGCAGAGGCTGTATCTGACTCTGAGGTATTGTTTTGGTGGGCCTCACGTGTTTCAGTGGTTTCATCTGCTGTCCTTGATACTGCATGTTAGCACCAGATGGTACAAAGTTTGATGTTTTAGGCTGAGTATTTGAAATGGTGACATCCTGGTTTTTAACAAGTCTGTTTTTCACATTCTGCCTGCCCTGTGCACCTGGAAAAGGTAGCAGCGGGTTACCATTAGTGGGAGAGGGTGCAGCCGCCTGCTCCTCTTGCTCCACAGGGGCTTGCGGGGCATAGAGCTGCTGCTGTTGCTGCTGCTGCTGTGCAAGTCTTTCCAGCAACTCCTTCTTCCTGGCACCAGCCTGCTGCTGCCGACGTAACTCCTTTTGTTTCAGAATTTCTTCCCTTAGGCGTTTCTGCTCCTCTATCTTTAAGCGATATAACCTTGTTTCTTCATCTTCATCAGGAAACTAAAATGGAAATACCCAGAGTTTACTCTTCTGTATAAAGGAAGGCAACCATCCCATCTATTTCAACTAAGAAGATGCATTTTCCGAAAATCTTTCAATTTAGTGTCTGAAAGAAGGCATTCAAAATCTGCTTAAAGACTAAGTATAATTCCCTCCTCTGGGGAGGGTGGGGGAAATTACACAGCTAAAGCTAATTTGGAAAATCTTATCAGAATATTAAAAACTGAAATAATGTGAATTTCCACTCATTTACAAGTTTGAAACCAATTAAACTATTCATTTAAGATATCAAAATATGTTTTAAATGGGAATGGCAACAGGAGCGAGGCCCTGCCATCACCCGGCTTTTATCTGGCTCTTCCTTGACAAACCAACAAAAGGTGGGGTGTAAATGACCTGAAAGGGCCTGATTAGAACTATTGATTTTTCGTACAGAATTTTCAGCCTGATCTCAAACTCATTTGTCACAGAATAATTGGTTATAATGAACAGCACAAGTCAATCTCTCTGACCTTGAACTCATGCACCCTCCTCAGAATCAAAATGTCGCCAATTGCAGTATTGGAATATTAATGGTATATAAGGAATCCCTTGAATATGCCAACCTGAAACCATTCCGAAAGCCTATCAAAAAAAATCGTTTGAAAAAGTCCAGTAACTTTCATAAATGGCATCCAATGAGGAAAGCCTACAAAAAGTTAAGCATTTTACAAACCTAATGGTATTCTATAAAAACTACCCATTCCCACAGATCCTTTATAAAAAGAATCCTAGTGTTCAATCTATCTGGGATCCCCCTATTATCAAGCTCATCTACCCTGAATAAACCTGAAGGATCAGGAAAGTAAAAACAAGAATGCAGAGGAGTTGGCTAGTGCCTTAGAGCCTCATGGAGGGCATGTTCCCTCAAAGGCAATTTTGACAGCTGGGTTTTCTCATCTCAAAGTAAGCCTAGGACAGATTTTAAACAGGAAAAGAGGGTCAGTAAGGGTCTGCCACCAGGTAGGCAGGCAGAGCAAGAAGTAACACCAGGGGAAGCCAGAAAGCCAGGTGAAGAGCAGAGGGTGCAGGCAGCAAGCAAGGAGGGAGCTATGGATACACTGACAGGACCCCAATGTACCATTCGGAACACAAAGAAATCACTACTCATTAGCGTATATCCCCACACAATCAAGAGTTACAGGCCGTGTTCAGGAATACAGACAGCAGGACTTGAGAAAGACTTCCATCGACAATCATCCTTCATTGTATCATCATTAACTGGGAGTGTAAAATAATACACCACATTTGGCTAAGCAAAGATAATATTTCTTCTAAAAAGTAAAAATAGAATGTATAGTCCTGGTGAGGTACACAGAATATTAAAATAACAAATTAGGACATTCAGCTTATACCATGGTGACCTGTAAGTTCCAAGTCACTTCCACAAATGACGTGTTTAAAAGCAACCACAGAGGGCTGGAGTTGTGGCTCAGTGGTAGAGTGCTCGTCTGTCATGTGTGAGGCCCTGGGTTCGATCCTCAGCACTACATATAAATAAATAAAAATAAAGGTATTGTGTCCACCTACAACATATAAATAAATAAAAATAAAGGTATTGTGTCCACCTACAACAATATTTAAAAAAAAAAAATGTAACTACCGAACTCTTGAGCCCTCTACCTCACCCAATGTGCACAAAAGGAGCACACAGCAGGGGGCTGGTAGCGGTGTGTCAAGAAGGTCCCTTTCTCATGTCATGCAGACACTGTCACTGTACAAGAAAAGAAGCATGTGTGTGGTTTTATTTTTCAGAACCAAATCAGTGCACAAATACCAGCCAGAAACCAGCTATGTAAATTAAAGGCACTATCAAAATTTTGGGAAAGGATTCTTTATAAACCACTCCAATCCTGCTTGCTAATCTACAATAATTTTTATATATTAATTATAACACCAAGAGTCACCCTAGATCTAATTAGAGCTTATTAAACAGTAACTCAATATTTTGACTTTTCACTTACAATTCTGGTTTGGCAACGTTACAACTGCTAGAGGAATTATTGGAAGAAAATTTGATAGAAAAAAAATTAACTAATTAAAAGATAAAACCAGTGCCAGTTGGTTTTTATAAAATTTTAAGAAATCATAACTTACCTAAATTTTTACCTAAGGAAAACAGATTATGCTATCATTACTATAGTAGAGGTAATCAATCCACCATGCTACTTCATTACATTCTTCATAAATGTGATTAATACTGATAAAACTTCCATGTTTTTGTCTCTTACCAGGTCCCAGGTGCACACTCTGGCTTGTTTTATCCTCATTTAACAGGGAAGAAAGTTGAGGCATATGGGAAGTGAGGACCTCAAATTACAAGTCATGTAAAATACTGACCTGCATTTATTATTTATACTTACAACCTCCTATACCTGTTTTAAAATTATCAACTACACGTGTAACTGTATTCTAAATAAACCACACTCCTCCGAATCTTAAAGATCAATAGTACAAGCAGTCCTATCTAGGATGGAAGGTGAAACTGAAAAAAGCCACCCAAACCTAACAGTGCACCTCAAGGGGCAGCAGGCTGTGCTGGGCCCGCAGCCCAAACCTGGTCCTGACCTGGTTTTCCAAGGAATGTTTTTCTGGAACACAGGCACATCCACTCTTTGGAGAACTATTTGTAAACTGCCTTTGTGCTGAAATGGCAGAGTTGAGTAATTATGACTGTGTGTACTATACAGCCTAAAATATTTACAGAAAACACTGGTGAGCCCTAGTATAAGTTGACTCTATATAATCAATGACAAATGTACAAATACAAGAAGTCTAATATTGTAAGCCAGGGAGAATAAAAGTGTATCTTCTCTGAACATGCTAGTAGGCTTCAAAGAAGGATCCAGCAGGCAGAGGACAAGAAGCTGAGAAGATTTTGTGACTAACACTCTGGATGAGTGAATGAGCTGATTACACAGCTTCCTCTTTGACCAAATATATTTTTTTTTAATATTTATTTTTTAGTTGTAGGTGGATACAATACCTTTATTTCATTTTTATGTGGTAATGAGGATTGAACCCAGTGCCTCACGAATGCCGGGTGAGCATTCTACTTCTGAGCCACAACCCCAGCCCTGACCAAGTATTTTTTAATAAGGAAAATGTCCCACCTCTGTTTCTGGTTTTGCTTCTTCCTTATTTTGAGCCACAGGGCTCACTGGCTTGACTTTTGCTTCTGTTTTCGCCTGTGAGTTCCTGGAAGCCACCACAGCCCTTGCGGGTGGGGACGTGCTGATCGGCTTCACCTGAGCTGCAGGCGTGGAGGAGCAGCGACTGCTACTCATTTCTATTACGTGTGATGGCGCGATGGGTAACTCACGCAAATTACTGTTTCTGGGAGCAGTGGGCTGCATCTGCTGCATGGGCCGCTTGGTTACATTCTGAGATGCTGCATTCTATCGCAAGAAGAAACAGACTCTGATTACAACTAGAAATGTGGCTGAAGGATACAAAAAGGCACACATGACTCAGTGCAAACATGACAGGGCATCCTCATCAGTAACAGGCATCTCTTCTGGCCAGTTATCTTCCCCCTTGCATGAAGGCAGCTCAGCCTCTGCTGCCAAGGGCTCACACTGTTCAAGGCAGCCTACGTGCCCACAGACTAACAGCCTCCTGCTTAGTGTAGAAACCACACCAAGTGATGTGGCTTGCAGCTTCAGTATGGAGGGCCAATATTTTCAACACAACTCTTTCAAGCACTTTGTCTGCCTCAAGTAATCCTTAAGGAAACCATTTCTACTAAGTCACCAAAATGTAATGTGGAACAGGGAAGGAATCAAGTATTTAGTCAAAGTCCTTGACAAAGAAATGTGTGGGAATTTCCCACAAATGAATATAAATTCCCTGAAGGCAGAGATCTGTCTCTTCTGTTCACCACTGTATTCCCAGGAACCTGAGAAGTCCCTGGTGGCAGGATAGTCACAACATTTTTCCTGAATTCATTTACTTATCTGTTTACAGCCCAAAGAGGCAATCTATGCATCAAAATTAAGTCACTGATCAAGGTAAAATGACCAACACCCAAAAGTATTTTCTAAGGTTATATACCTTTTAATTAACATCTATTACCACATAAATACCTAGATACAGAAGATGCTGAAGCCAATATTAAAATCTACTAAGTTCCAAGTTTTCAAATCTGCAAATATTTCAATGATACAGGTATATTAAAATAGGTTGAAAACCATAACCATAGAGGTCCTTCATCACCACTAAGAACAGAACTGCAGAGAGTCCTAGAAATAAGACACCAGGACAATAGATCAGACATCCTTTATAGATAATTAAGCCACCCTATAAATAGGACACTGAGCAAACATTACATAAAATACAAAGAAGTGACTTCCATGATCTCTTCAACAATTACTTTTGGTCAAATGAAGGGTTACATTATAATTTTTTGACAGTGTCTTGTCGGTTTCCCAAGACGTGGCTGGTTTAGATGCTGCCGTTCAGGCAGAGCACTCACATGGGTATGCAGGATGCAACAGGCTTTGTCCCAGTGTCCTATTTATAGGACAGCTCTTTTCCACCACTGATAATCTGAAATGCAGTGCCTTCTTAGAAAAATGACAACCTAGTTCTAAAAAATATTTTAGTGAGAACATTTCTTCTATTACTTACCAGTTACATACACATGATTTTACTTAGAAGTGACTTTTGCAATAAAGTTCATGCCATTCTCAAAATAAATTTAAAAATATTTTTCAATCATTTGTCTATTATTTATCTCAAAAAAAAAAAAATAGATGCCTAAAAACAATTATTTCAAAGTTACCGTAAGTGGTGCATCTATTGCTCAATTTGTGTTTTCATAAGTGTCCCACATCTGGGACGATGGGACAAAATCAGTTAACACACTCTTTAAGGTGTATAAAAGGGTGTATAAAAGGGTATATAAAAGGTGTATAAGTCATTAATTTCTGTATTTAAGAAAACAATTTCCTAAGTGTTCACTTCAGAAAAATGTATGACATACTTGTTAATTTAAATCAGAACTGGAAAATAACCTAACTCAACAACTATGCCTCTTGAGTTCTCAAAGTCAAAAAATACCCTAGGAGGCCTCAGTGAAGACGCCATTGGATACTCACGTGCCGCAGCCCCTGGCGTGGGGGGCACTGCATCCGGCTGCTGCTGGGTTGGGGCTGAGCAGTCTGTACATGGGGCCTGAACTGAGGCTGAGACATGGGCATCAGAGGAGGCGGAGGGGCAGGAAGGTGGTGGTGATGCTGGTGCTGCTGCGGCTGGTGCTGTGGCTGGTGCTGGGGAGGCGGCTGGTGCTGGGGAGGCGGCTGGTGCGGAGGCTGGAGCTGGGGCTGGAGCGGGGGCTGGTGCTGGGGCTGGTGCTGATGATGCTGGGGCTGGTGCTGATGGTGCTGGGGCTGTTGCTGGGGCGGCTGCTGCTGCTGGGGCTGGGGCTGATGAGGAGGCGGCAATGGAGGATGCAATGGCCCCTTCCAGTTCAAAACAAGGGAGAAACAGCAATTCACAAACAGATAAACAAGCTACACCCAATTCAACTGTCCTCTTAAAAATCCCATCTTGAGAAACAAACTTAACATGGTGCCAAGGCTTCACTTTGGCTTTGTTGGGAAGGTAATGCTATCTTCTAAGTGCAATAATGATCAACAGCTACTATCATAACAGCTAAATGTACTTTTGCCCTAAATCCTTTCTACGAAGAATTCCAAGAATTTATGTGAAGGAAGTAACTAAGGATGTAAGCAAACACAGAACCTCCAATATGATACTAAAGTTCTGAAACCAACAGAAGCGGGCAAAATCAGCATCAGTGTAAAAGGCAGCTTTGTGCACCAAGGTCACGTGCAGTAGTGAAAGACGATTCACTGAAGTGCAATGGGAGCTGGGAGGAAAGCACAGGGATGAGGACACACTGCTTCAAAAAAACTGGAAAAAAAAATATGTATATGTACACATGAAAATGTTCATGACGCCAGGTGCAAGGGGCCCACACCTGTAATCCCAGCAACTCACAAGGCTGAGGCAAAGATCGCAAGTTCAAGGCCAGCCCGTGCAACTTAGAGAAACCCTATCTCAAAATAAAATATAAAAAGGACTGGGGTGTAGCTCAGAGGCAGAGCACCCTTTGGGTTCAACACTCAGTACCAGAAAAAAAAAAAGGAAATGTTCATGGCAGCCATTTCTGAGAAACAGAATTGTTTAATTTCCTCACTCAAACTTATCTATATTCTAATATTTCTGCAATAGAGAAGAATTAATTATATTTTTTCATTAAAATAAAAATTTAAAAACCACCTCAACCTCCGTTAACACCTTAGATAACAATCACTTTCCTCTTGGACCATCACTGTATGTTTTAATGATAAACACAAAATCCAAGAAGAAATCACAGGATAATAAAGATGCCACAAATACTTCCACCAGCCCAGGAAACACCTACCAGCAGAGGGCATACGAGATTGCCAAACACTGAGTCAACACCAACACTGTTTTCTTCCCAAGGGGTTTTTCCCACTATCTAGTATGGGAACATAATTTTACAAAGCACTTTAATTACACTGATAAATCTTTCAAGACATCTTATAAAGGTGACCAACTGTATTATCAAAACATGTCCTAATTTTATTGAAGAACATCTTTTAAAAACTCCTAACAGGGGCTGGGGATGTGGCTCAAGCGGTAGTGCGCTCGCCTGGCATGCGTGCGGCCCGGGTTCAATCCTCAGCACCACATACAAACAAAGATGTTGTGTCTGCCGAAAACTAAAAAATATTAAAAATTCTCTCTCTCTTAAAAAAAAAAGTCATTAAAAAAAATAAAATAAAAAAATAAAGACTCCTAACAGTAGGGCTGGGGATGTGGCTCAGCGGTAGAGCGCTCGCCTAGCATGAGACCCGGGTTCGATCCTCAGCACCACATAAAAATAAATAAACAATATTAAAAAAAAAAAAAAACACTCCTAACAGTGACATTTCCGACTCCCCCCAAATGACACATTTTTCCATTTCTCCTAGTATTTCAGGAGATAACAGTATCATCAAGAGAGTTTAGTAAATGGTACATTTAACACTAATAACCTTACTCTTTAAAGATTACAGTGAAAATCTGAAAAAGTACTCCTCCCCTGCAGCATAGACTGGTTCCCCCAAGGTTGGCCCACGTGCATACCTGAAGGTTTGGCTGGGCGTGCGTGGGCAGGAACGGCTGTCCTGGGCCAGGCAGGAAGGGCTGTCTAGGAGGAATGAAAGGCCGGGTGGCTGCTGACCCTGGCTGGCTAAAGTGCAGGATCCCCACTGGACCTGGGGGCTGCAGGGCTGGTCTTACGGGCCTCTCTCTCGGGAACACTGGCTGCTGTCCTTGCTGATTAAACGCTGGTCCAGGCTGAGTGAATGGTAAGGGACTTTGAGCAGGAACAGGATGGCTGCTGTTCAGAAGTGTGGGTGGAGGCGGTGGTGGAGGGGGACTTCGTTGCTCCAAGAAAAGATGACTGGGGAACCGTGGTTCACCTGAAACTGAATAGGAGTACAACACCACCTTCAGGTCAAACGGATCATGCACTTCTCAGAAGACCAGTTTTATGAACTTTCTTACCCTGGGACAAAAATGACAAATAGTGATGGAGTATGAACATTTAGAAAGAATTCTAGATCTTGCCTCTTTTTTTTTGCGGGGGTGGTGGTGGGGTACTAGGGATTGAACTCAGGGGCACTCAACCACTGATCCACATCCCTGGCCCTATTTTGTATTTTATTTAGAGACAGGGTCTCACTGAGTTGTTCAGTACCTCACGTTTGCTGAGGCTGACTTTGAACTCGCAAGCCTCCACCTTCAGCCTCCTAAGCCACTGGGGTTAAAGGCGGGTACCACGGCACCTGGCTACCTTTTGCCTCTTACTTCTGGATTGCTTTGTGGGTCAAAATGAACGCTTTCCTTCTTTGAGTGAGATTTTCACATTTCAGATACCCAATACTATCTGATTGTAACGTCTGAAATGGCAGGCACAGCTGCCACAGCTTAAAGGCCTGTGGCTCTAACAACTGCCCACTAGGGGTAAAGGTTGGTTTTAACAGTGACTGTTCAATTGCATCATCAATGATGCCTCCATCATGTCCCAGTGCCAGACAGCACTCCTTTGTACCTCCCAAGAAGAAAGGGTCTCGCTCCTGGGGTGGGGGTGGAGCTCTCCACTGGTCCTGGAGAGGAAGTCGTGGGGGCTGGCTGAAACTGTTGGGAACAGGTCCAGGTGTGTGCTGTGGGAATTCCGGAGGGCCCTAAAGAAAACAATGAGGAAAAAGTGAAAGACAGAAAAACATCCTGTAATCTTCGGAAATGTGTACAGTTCCAAGCTTTCCTTTGGAACTGTCAACTAATTTATCTCCAGGGGTCAGCCTGCTTCTGTGTGTGTATATGTGTGTGTGTATGTAGGCATACAGAAATATCAATACACACACACACACACATATAAATGACATATTACAAAGTAAGTGATTCTACCATAACGCAATAGTCAACAATAAAAACTGGGTGCAATGGCCACGCCTGTAATCCCAGATACTTGGGAGGCTGAGGCAGGAGGATTGCAAGTTCAAGCACAATCCCCACAACATAGCAAAACCCCGTCTCAAATTATAAAAAAAAAAACAAAAAGGGCTGGGAATGTGTGGTTCAGTGCTAAAGCACCCCTGGGTTTAATCCCCAGTACAAAAAAAAAAGGCATCAAAAAATTAATTCAGGATTTTAAAATTATTATAGCACTACAGAATATTATTTTTCAGCTTACTAAAATTCATGCAATTATTGACCTTCTTTCCCATTAATCCAAAAGACTAAATGTCTACTTTGGACATTCATGACATTTATCTTCTCAAATTTGCTATTTTCTGCTATCTATTTAACACAACCATAAGCGACAGTTATGAAGCTGCTTTACTTCAAAAAAAGAAAAGAAATTCAATTTGTACCATAACAAAAGTCCACAGTCTCTAATATAACAGAAAAACATGCATGTTAAGAAGTCAAATTATAACAACAGAAAGTATTATGCAATCGGATTCCTTTGGATAAAAAATTCAAACAGGTTCTTTTTTTTTTTTTTAAAGAGAGAGTGAGAGGGGGGAGACAGAGAGAGAGAGAGAATTTTAACATTTATTTATTTTTTCTTAGTTCTCGGCGGACACAACATCTTTGTTGGTATGTGGTGCTGCTGAGGATCGAACCCAGGCCGCACGCATGCTAGGCGAGCGCGCTACCGCTTGAGCCACATCCCCAGCCCCTCAAACAGGTTCTTACAGATTAACATTTTCAATAACTACATGCTACCACAGAAAGAGACAAAGCTAAAGTACTTAATATTTCTCAACTTTTAGAAACCATGCTTCCTTCTCATGAATTTAAAAAATCAAATGCCTTGTCTGCCACTTACTATTGACACAATTAATGGTTCCCCACGTCCTAGGTGTGTTAACAGAGGACATAACTCTTTCAGATGCCACACCCCTCCCACCCCCTTAAAAGCCTGCCTGACCCTACTCAACCTGAGGCACTGCAAGAACATGCAGCAACAACTGTACACTCCCAGATGACTGCCAGCTAACTAAGAAGTCGGCGTTAGAACAAAATTATGACATCTTAATGAAACCACAAATACTAGAAACTTATTTATTTATATTTGGTACTGGGGATTGAACCCAGGGGTGCTTATCCACTAGCCACATCCCCATCTCTTTATTTTTTGAGACAGAGCCTCACTAAGTTGTTTAGGGCCTCACTAACCTGCTGAGGCTAATCTCGAACTTGAGATCCTCCTGCCTCAGCCTCCCAAGTCACTAGGATTATAGGCAAGTGACACTGTGCTTAAAAGAAGGGGAAGAGAAAGGTCCAAAGCTCAAATTCTTGCAGCTTTTTTTTACTACTTTAGGTGACATGGAGGAAACCTTCACTGTGCCAAAGTATAAACTGGGGCATAACGTCTCACTCTAAGGTACTACCTAATAGCAAATCTTAAGAGGAATGGGACGCTAGAAAGTAGAAATACATATCATACAACACACACTAAAACGTTTTTTTACCAGTAATACATGCATGCATTTTATCATTAAATGTTAATTTTAGACTTCACTGCTAATAATGCTTTAGTTCAACATTCTTTAATATTTCCACTTAGATAAGATGCTAGAAAAAGTGTTCCTAACAACATGAGTTTATCAAGCAGTTACATATTAAATATGCATGAAAAGTTTCAATGGATCTGGCTACTTTCTTTCATGGACAAATTCTTACCTTCCATTTAAAAATATTTTCACTTTTAATGTGAAATCAATGGTATGCATGTGCTCCTGTCTACCAAAACCAATACTGCCCTTCACAGGAACTTAAATGTTCTATGTATGAAATACAGCAGGAGTACTCCGTCTTTACTTTTGCATTTCAACATTATTCTGAACATCCTTAATTCAAAATTCAGAAACGTTTTGATTTTAAAAACTCTTTGAGCCATCAACACTCAACTTACAGATTTCAGAACAATTTCAGATTTCAAATTTTTGCACTGGGGATGCTCAATGAGCAAAGTCCACAATAAATATTCCAAAATCTGAAAAACTGAAATCTAAAACACTCTGATTCTAACCATCTCAGATAAGAGATCCTCATCTGCACAAACACTTCTAAACATGTTTTAAAATAATCTTCAGAACTTTCTGGATGACAACAAATCAGCAATCAAAGGTTCTGTGTTATTTAAAAAATATGATTAAATGTTGTTTCTTGGTGTGACACAGAGTGACCTCTGGATTGTGGAGAGGTTTGCTGATTGCACTGCCTCCAATACAAACAAACAACTGTGGCCCTGAGTAAAAACTCTCTTCTGTGAAACAGACTGTTCTCTTAAATTTTGTGCATGTATGCTCGACTAGATTTCTTTCCAGGAAGGGGGCAAAAGTGAGGCTTCAAACAGATAAATACAACAGAAACAAATACGATTCACCAAAACAATTTCTGTTGGGAAATGGGAAACGCACAGAGCTGCTAGAAAGGCGGCACCCAGCCTGACAGAAGCCAGTCTCTGTTAAAGGAGTCCCTGTTATGAGTGAAGGACACACTGTTACACACTTTTAAAATCAGAGGAATTTAAATGAAAAATATGTTTTTATGAAGTTTTAGCTTAAAACAGGAAAACTAGCACCTATCCAAAATCACACGAAAAACCATTTCCAACCTTTAAAGTGTCATGATAAACAACTGCTCTCTTCCAACCATCTCCCAGGACCACAGTCCTAACAGTCATGAGCTGGGGCCAGTGAGCCACGGGAACAGCTTCTCTCCCCACTGTGGAGCAGTCCTCAGAGAAGCAGCACCCATCAGCCGGGACAGCCTTTGCAGCAGCTGGTGATGCAGCTCTGACACCTTGAAGGGTTTAGAGTTAAAAGTGACCAGTCCAAGGTCTACCATCAATGAATGACAGCTCAGGACAAGACCTTGTACTTTCAGACTCTTTTCAGTGCTCTGCTCATACAGTGAGTCTTCAAGTAATGCCACAGAACCCAGTTTCTGAAGCCAATGTCCACCACAAAGAGCATCTCCTGACGGGATCCCTCCCTCCTTTAGCAATATCTCACATGCCACAGGTGGTAAAGAACAATAAATCATACAAATTTCTTCTAGCAAATGCAAAACTATTTTAAGACTATTAGTTGTAACTACTTCATTTAACAGAATTTTTAATACTAATGCCATTCTACCTTTTGAAATAAAATACTTCAATCCTTTCAAATAATTCACTTTTCTTTATATCCCTTTAAAACGCCAAGGTAAGGAATTATCACTCTCCCCCATATAATTCTTACGCAGACCATACTTCCCTTTTTTGCATCTCTTGTTAATTACATGATGCTATCTATATTAATCCTATTCAGGAAGAACTGATAACTTCAGTTACAAAAATAAAGAGGAAACTTTGCATAAATTGCTCGGCACAAAGTTAATCATACAAAGCCAAGAATATAAAGGCTCTAACAGCTGATGTGACTTATCAGCTTCCCTAAAAGGGTCAGTCTGTATATTTTAATACGACTAATTAAATACCTTAACAATGTCATTGAAACTTCATGAATCTCAATAAATTACAACCTTCCTCTATGTTTTCATTTATTAATCTCATTTAAAATGCAAAGAACTACGTAAGAAATCAATTGACACTTAAGAAGACCTCTCAGTTAATTCTGATTAAATGGGTTAAATGTGAAGAATAAAGACCACTAGTGACCCCTCACATAATTAAAATTACAACCCTCTATCACAATATGTTAATCCTCTTATCTCAGCATTCTCCATAATTTTTTTTTTTCTTTTGGGTTGTGCCTGGTTTAAATACCTACATTCATTTTCCTGGAAGATAATTTCATCTTTAGAGACACACACTTAATGTTTTGAAGAAGGACATATCCAATGCCAAGTATCAGATTTCATGTGGCGGGCGGGGAGTGGGTGGATGGGGACCTCATGATTTAAATACATGAAGACAATGTTACTGGTTGAAACAGGAGACCACAGCACCACTACAAGTCAAGAAGCTTTTCTGTAGTACAAAATATCACTTCTGCCAAAGCTACTAAAGATCACTCACATTCCTTCACAAAATGCGAAGCCCTACATTCCTACAATGTCCCAACATGCTCCTCACAACAGGCCCACTTAGCAGATCTCCCACATGGCATAAGTGTTAGTCAGTCTGATCCAGTTTCTTGACTTTTTCCCTTAGTTTACTGAAGTTCATTTTAGTACTTCAGGCAGAGGGTACAGCATAAAAGAGAGCCTTGGTTCCAACTCTATCCCCTGGAATTATATGAACCGAAGCAATCAGTTTTCCTATGACTCAGCTTCTCAATCTGTGAAATGGGTAAAATAACAACCACTCTGCTTCATAAGGCTGCTGAACACAAGTCCTGCACAACATCTGAAACACAGTGGTCACTCCATCATCTTTACATGTATCGTGGATCTTCAGGAAACCTGCTTCTGTATAGTGAAAACAAGGAATCCATTTACAAAGCAAAGCAGTACTATCAGCAGACCAACTTAAAGCAGAGTTTAAGATTCCCCTCTGTGAACACAAGACTCTCAGTCCCACTCCTAGGCACTGACAATGTCCCTCACAATGTTCTAGTAAATGGACACCCATATACTAGAATAGCAACACGCAAATGTCAATTATTGAAGGAATGCAAAAAAAAAAAAAAAAAAAAAAAGGGTCTCAGGTGCTTATGCTCCAAAG